TATGTGAGGTTGAAAGGCAATAGCAGGATGTTGAACGGAAAAGGCATTGGCTGAGAGAGCTGGCTCTCTGGTGTAGGCACTACTCGTGGTGCAGGCTCGAGGCCTCGTCTTGTGCTTCGAGTCGAGTGTCGTGTGGGTATCGTATCCATGAGCGTCTCTGAGCGCCTTGCGTTGACGGGCGGTGGTGGAGGAGCGCGCGCCGCCTCAGCAGCAGGGTCGACGGTGTCGGCATCTCCGTCGAAGAATCGTGTGATGGCAATTTGGGCGTTCCACTGGCATTTCTGCAGGAGCGGTATTGCTGCGGCGAGGTCTTGGTCGGTGACGGAGGTGTATTGCTGGAGTGCCAGCTGCTGTGCCTCGTTGAGCTCGGAGATGTCGACGTCGGCCATGGCGGCGGTGGAGAAAGGACGAGTCGAGTCGAGTCGAGTTAATTAGGGGCTACGACATTTAGGTAGTGGAGTGAGTGTATGTAAAGAAGAAAGGTTCATGGGAAAGGGAAGTTCAAGGTGGGACATCTTGACATCTTGACACGAGACATGTGATGAAATGCGGTCCGTTCATCTGGGGATCTGGGATCGGAGGGGATCCACCACCCGTTCCATCTTTCTGACCTCTTCTATTTACATGTATTCGCTGTTCTCATCGCTAAGAGTTGAATTTTTTGCAATTCTTTTAAGTGTATTCCATCCACTAGGTGATCCCCGATTGCCACTTACGAAGACGTCTCTCCCAACCCAAACATCTTGATCGAGTTCCGCCATGCCCTAGACTCGGTCAGCATTGATGCAAGACGATAAATAAATCAGGTCACTTACGCTTCTACAACTTCTTCCACACTGATGCCTTTGACACCAGCCACAACGTAGGCAACCCGGGGGATCTGACAAGGCTCGTTCCTGCCCTTGACCATCGCATCGGGACTCCATTTCTCCTTCTTAACAGCCTTTGGTAGAGGCGGCGCATCTTTGAGGTATTTCGAGCTTGCGTGAGTGGGTCGAATCTCGCACCATGGTCCGTCGGTCTCAATCTGGATACGTTCGAGCGGCACTTCCTTGGTAACAGCCAGATTCTCCTCGGTCTTCAATGAGCAGCCGTTGATGCCGATGTTGAAGCCCATGGCCACGAGATCTTGCATTTCCTCGAGAGTGCCCGTGAAAGAGTGCACGAGACCGCGCTTCGGTAGCTCATCAAGCCGTTCCTGTAAGATCGCTTTGAAGTCATCTGCTGCTGCACGTGAGTGCAGGAACAGAGGCATCTGTAGGTCCACAGCAATATCGAGCTGCTTCTTGAAATACAAGATCTGCGTTTCCTTGTCGCAATGGAACAATCGATCGTAGTCCAACCCAAATTCTCCAAAAGCAGTGGTATTGCCCGAATCTCTCGACTCCTGTGCTAGCTTCTTGATCTCCTGCAGCAGGGCGTCGGGTCCGTCGGGATACTCTATGAAGCTCTTCGCCGCGCAAGGGTGGACTCCGACGGTTGCGTAGCATAATCCAGGAAACTCGTCTGCAAGTTTGATTGCATTCTTGCTCTCCTCCAAGTCGGAGCCCGTGACCATCATTTTCGTGACACCAGCATCAAGAGCGCGTTGGACGACTTGCTGGAGATCATCGTCGTGTGCTTTCTTGCCGTGATGCACACCACGGTATATTTGATCAGAGAGGTTGATGCCGATCTGCCTGGCGTTGGGTCAGTGACTTGGCTCTGTGATCAATGGTAGTAGCTTCACTGACGTCTGCGTATCGTAGAGCGGGTTTGCCTTCTCCGTTTGTAGTGGTCGCCGAGTTCAAACCTGTAGAGACCGGGTCTGTAGTGGTTGAAGCCATTCTGAATGTTCTATGGAGGCTTTGGCGAGGGAGAAACTTCGAGTGCTGGAAGATGTGTCGAGATATACGGCTGGTGGTACAGTGACTCATGGGATCTGATCTATGTTCTAGTTATGTTGACTGTATGCCGGTAAAGATGCAGTATTGTTTTGGTGACTCTCCAATATTTCACCGGAGTTGCCACTTTGGGCAAGGGCTATGTCATGTCATGGGCGCAGACACCGAGCGCCGACGCCGACGCGACAGGCGGAGCGAGAGAGAGGCTGCGACCAAGACAAGAGAGGACGCCACACTTTGACCGACACCTCGATCAAGACTCCGACCTCGACGTCGAACCTTACCTATTACACCTCACAACACCGCGGCATACTCAACATGGGTGCGCTACTCAGTCTGCCTCTACTGGCAATCCCCAGCGTCGGCACGGTCAGTCCTGTCTTGCGCCCATCGTCTCAATCTTCCAGGTATACTGACGCCTGGCATACAGATCGCAACAGCAGCGGCATCATGCTGTGGCGCGGCAACATGCAGCGCAGTGTGTAGCATGTGCGGCAAGTGCAACAACAGTAAGAAGACATGCGCCAGACCATCCCAGCAGAAGACATAACATGTACTCACGCGCATCCCTCCAGGCATCGCAACCCGCATCGCATATGCGCTCATCCTCCTCCTCAACTCGATCCTCTCATGGCTCACCATGACCGACTGGGCCGTCAAGAAGCTCCAGGGCGTCCTCCTCGACTATGTCACCATCGACTGTGCCGGAAAACAATGCTTCGGCTTCACCGCTGTCCACCGCGTCAACTTCGCTCTCGGCTGCTTCCATGCCATCCACGCCGTCCTGCTGCTCGGCGTCAACAGCTCGAAAGACCGCCGTGCGCCTATTCAGAATGGCTTTTGGGGACCCAAGATCATCGCATGGCTGGGCTTGATCGTCCTCACTTTCCTCATCCCGAACACTTTCTTCGAGGTCTGGGGTAACTACGTCGCTTTCGGTGGTGCCATCCTGTTCTTGCTCCTTGGCTTGATCCTGCTGGTAGACCTTGCGCATACATGGGCTGAGCACTGCATTGAGAAGATCGAGGATACCGACTCCAAGCTCTGGCGCAGCCTTCTCATCGGCTCGACTCTGGGCATGTATCTTGGCAGCATTGCTATTACCATCGTCATGTACATCTTCTTCGCTCAGTCCAACTGTTCGATGAACCAGGCAGCCATCACAGTAAGATATTGTCTCGTATTAAATTCTCGTCGCCACTGCTAACTCCATCTTCAGGTCAACCTTATCTTGGTTCTCGGCATCAGCGCCATGGCTATCCACCCAACTGTGCAAGCCTCCAACCCACGTGCCGGCCTTGCCCAAGCTGCCACTGTCAGCATCTACTGCACCTACTTGACTCTCTCAGCCGTAGCTATGGAGCCTGATGACCAGAACTGCAACCCGCTTGTCCGCGCCAACGGCACTCGCAAGGCTTCCATCGTCCTAGGTGCCATCGTGACATTCATCACCTGTGCCTACACCACTACCCGTGCCGCCACCTATGGACTAGCTCTCGGCTCGAACAAGAGCAGCGGCGGCTACTCTCCTGTCGAAGCTGAGGAGGGCGGCCACGACTTGGTTTCCACCCAGCCCGAGAGCCGCCGTGCCATGCGCGCCGAGGCTCTTCGCCGTGCCGTTGAATCGGGCGCCCTACCCGCCTCCGCGTTGGACGAAGACTCCGATGATGAAGACGAGGGTCCTCACAACCGCAATGACGATGAGAAGGCCCACACGCAGTACAACTACGCGCTCTTCCACTTCATCTTCATGCTGGCCACAGCCTGGATCGCGACGCTGCTGACCCAGAACATCGGCGCAGACAAGCACTTGCACACCGGACACGAGGACTTCATGCCCGTCGGTCGCACTTACTGGGCTAGCTGGGTCAAGATTGTGAGCTCTTGGGTGTGCTACGGTATCTTTGGTTGGACTCTGATGGCTCCGGTCATCTTGCCCGACAGGTTCGAGTACTAGACTGCTCGGGGGTGTTTTCCTGTGTCTACTTTTGTACGAAAATCTGAGTGCTTTCACATTTATGTAATCATTGACTTCCACATCTATACGGCCTTTCATGAGTGATTCATAAACCATTTGTCATATGCAACATACACTACTCATATATATCTACAGTAAAGCGACATTTTGCCTGTCATGTCATACAAAAGTCCCATCAAACACGGGTGGTGTCGAGAAAGACGCATGAAGGATCGATTTTACAGAAACTGATGTGAACTCCAACAAGGATCTGTCTCATTCATAACCTCGCAAGCCTCGC